AGGGATCAATAAAGTATTCTGATTCTGATTCTGATTCTGATGCTTTGTATAAACAAATAAATTATGTTGCTTATCAAATCCATGAAGTGCTACAGAGAAAATGTAATTTTATTTATGTAATGAACACATTTTGAACTCTTAAAAAATATGACAAAAATGAGATACACCCAGGTGAATGTCTCTTTTAAATGAAGCTGAAGCAAACGAAAACTTTAGTGAGCCACCATCCTTATATCATCTTTGGAATTCCACAGCCTGTAGTGGAACCTTGACCTGAATTAAAAAAAAATATTTGGAAAAAAGCACTATTCTGCCAAAAAATGAAAAATAAATATTTGCAAAATATCTGGATAAATATTTATTTTACGCATTTGATGTGTGTGGCAGGGCGTGGTCTGCAGTGGCGCTGCAGGGGAGGCGGACGCACCTGAGCGACATCTGCAATAACACCTCGCCGGCTTAAAGTCTGTGCTCTCTCGGCTGTTGTGTTGGTTTGTTGGGCTGTGAGTTGAAAAGCTACATCCGGCTGTGTGAATTTAAAAAATATTTGGAAAAAAAAAACTGCTGTGTTGGTACAGCAACCATGTGTGAAAAGTGGCCAGTAAAGAAATGCTAAAAAGCGTGTTCATGCAAATATCGTCGGGTCTACAGTGGGACAGTGGGACTTCTGCTCCTGAACCTCTGCGCACATCATCTGCAAATCGGGGCTGTACGAAGTCAGTTCATCTTTACGCAAGACTGTAAGCTGTCATCTGTGAGGCGCGAGCGGTGTTTGTTTTTACCATAGTTCCTGGTGGCGAATAGCTGCTCTAGTGCGTTTTGCTCCCTGTAGTCGTGTGAATGGCAAACTACACTCATGTTGCGTTTTATCCCCTCTGGTGGTGTGAATGGCAAACAACACTCATTGGCAGTAGCATAGGCACACTTAAAATTTATTCTGAAATTTCCGCTCTCTAGTTTTATTTATCACGATGTCATAAGTCACTGGACACTGTGAACATCCACGGTCACCACTTCATGCATAATGGACCTTCCATGACCTTCCAAGCTATATAGTTTATGTCTTCCATATCCATAATCACATACTGTGTATGCTACCATTGTATATAGTGTATTATCTTACTTTTTTTCATTGATTGTACTTAATTGTATTTTTGTATTTCCTTCATATATCTGTACCTGAGCTGAGGTGACGCAAAAATTTCCCCGTTGTGGGATCAATAAAGTCTTATCTTGTCTTATCTTATTTGTTGTTGTTTCATTAATTAATTGAGTTAATCTCATCTCCTCATCAGTAACAACCATTCAGACGCAGCAGTAGATGGTGTTAATGATCAAATCAGTTTGTAAATAATTTTATGGTTTTTCTTCCTCTGCTTGCTTCATGCTGTCTCTGAGGCTCGGACCAGCACTCCACACATTACATCAAATCATAGCTTGACTGGCCACCGGACATATCGGGCCAGCGGTAGTTTTTTGTTTTTATGGCCCAATGTTTTTTTTGCTTTTTTGTTTTGTTTTGG